ATAAGTTATAGTAAATTTATGATACCTAGACTTTAATCCTTTAGAATTGTTTCTATACTTTCATTAAAAAGATGCAAATAAAAGAAACAACAATCACATGATTCTGTGCTATGCCACCCTCCAAAAATTCAGCTATTGAAGGCTAAGCAGGTCCTAGATGATTAACTACTATGCAAATGATGAATTTGGACTATGAAAGGCTATTTAAAAGTGAGAATACATAATCTTTGGAAGTGAGGTTACCCGAAAGTTGAGGAGTTCTGTACAAATAATAAAGTTAAGGAAGAACATCACATCCTTTTCCCTACCAAGCCCTCTTTGCCTTCCCTCTGAAAACTGTTCCTGCCATTTTCTCAACCCCAAGGTTCATTTAGATCTTAACTATTATTCATTCAATTTATCTTGGCTTGGTTGTGTTTCTCCAATGAAGATATATATATATATCTCCTACCACTTGGTACAGTGTTAGGTATATGACTGACTTTAATTTACTTTTTTTTTCCATAAGGAGAACAAATATGGACATGTGGTTCATTAAAGAGATGGCCAAAAGGGATTCAGATCAATATATGTAATGCTATCTGTGTGCCCTTACTGGGAGTGGTTAATAAGCTGGTCTGAATATAGTGCTAGTGCTTTTTAAATATAGTGAGGCATTCGTATCTTTGTAGTACTGCTACTTGAATGCAGTGGAGAGCTGGCCCAATTCCTACATGTTCTAATACCTGCTTAAAATTCTTACTCTGATAATCAAGAAGCTGGAATATGAGATTCATCAAAAATTCTGTATTCATTTTCCGAATATAGAAAGATTATCACACAATTTTAGTACAAGGGAGTATATCAAAGGCAACTGATCAAACTGGAATGCTGTACTCAGAATAGCTCTGAAAATATTAGAAATGCTTATATTTGTAGCATTTTATACAAAGGGTCTATTACATAAATATGTTGCTACTTATAGATAGCAGATGGAATCTAAAAATGTTCCTGAATAATTAACCAGCAAGTTTCATTTATAGCAGGAAGCAAACGAAGAAGGTATTAACATTCAGGATACACCAAACAGAAAGTATAGGGATCTTTAATTCATGGGTGAATGAAGGCGGAAGCAACATGGTGAACACGGCATTTTTCCTTTTAAAGTGATTTCCTTATCATATATTATTAAGTTAATACATAGTAAAGAGATTTTGTTCAAATCTCTGTGTCCCATCAGCCTTTACTGCATCTTCTAGTAAAACGTGCGCGCGCGCACACACACACACACACCCCCCACACAGAAACTTGTGTACATGTTGTGTAAAGAGTTGGTATAGAAAAGGTCATTTAAGATAAAACATCCTCCCCATTCATTATGATAGCTTCATTACATCTGTTTTATTGGTGGAAAGATTTTCTGTTTGGGGAAAAAAAAAAAGCTTAATACTTTTCTGATGAAGCTTATATAAAAAACACTGCCACATTTATATTTAATGCAGCTAAAAGAAGATTTCATGCCTGTTTTCCCAGTGAAAGCTTCTATTCTGCCAGATTTGTACCAGAGATAATAATAGGCTTGATTTGTATTGTATTTAAAAAATTCATCAAAGCATTTTCACATCTCTTCTCTCATCTGAGCTTTTCTACTGCCCTGTAAGACTAGTTAAGTGTATGTCCTAATCCATCTTTAACAAAAGGAGAAATTGAGGCCCAGAGAGGTTATGTGACATGTCAGAAGACATGCTTTAAGTAGCAGTCCTAGAGGTCATGTACTATGACTACCTTTCTCTGCTTCTAGAATATAAAGACCACTCTGAGCGTACATTCAGTTATGTATTCATACAGATAGGTGCAAAACAAAAATCATCCAAATTTTAAAGTATGTATGCTGGAACTTTATACCTAGAGATTCCAATTTAGATCAGATGTTATTCCTTGACATATCTATTTTTAATGTGATATGTGTGCAACTTTGAATCTGGTTAACAAGCACTGTTGGACCTTTATTCATTCAATCATCCAATATTCTCTGTGAATTTTGCCTTCTGTAATTTGCTTATCTTCCTAACAGGTTGTTACGCTTTATCAAATTTGTTAGTCATTTCTTTATGGCATATTTTTGTTGAAGTCGTCAAATGCATTGCTCTTTTTCTTATGTCTCACATAGAAATATATTCCTTCAGTTCAAATTTAAGAAACAATCTACAATTGAACAACAAAAAGAACCAACCCCCTTCAAAGAAAACTACTACATTCTTCACAACAAAATAAAATCAATATGTAGAAGACAATATACAAATGAATATAAAACATAGGACATGTTGATCATAACACATAAATAATAAATACAAATAAAAGGAACATGATGTTTCAATTCTACGATTTGCAAAAGTAGAACAATTTGATAAGCAGCATCGTTGAAAATGAGGATAAATAGTCACATTTATATAACGCTGGAGAAAGTATTGTTGACACAATGTCTTTGGCATTGAGATTGGCAATATTTCTCAAAAGTAAAATATATGTTCTTTTTGGTCTAGAAATACTGTTTCTCAGGTATAGATAAATCTGTGCAATGTTTAAGAACATATATATCACAGTATTTTCTATAATAAGAATAAAAGGAGGCCATCTAAATGCCTGTTCATAGATAAGTAGCTAAATTCATTATGGTACATGTATAAAAAGAATTATGATGTCTCTATAAAAAAGAATAAGCAATATTTATATATACTTATATAGAATAGTTTCCAAGGTATAGTAGGGCTATTACATTTTAATTAAAGATATATATTTTTTCCCCATTGAGTTTAGAATGATATATAAAGGAAAAAGGAACATGTATATGCTTGTATGTACACAGACAGTAGTGTAAAGTTAAAGAAGCTATTAGCTGATGCATTTGAAAAGGAAAACTAGAAGTTTGGGGTGGGAAGAAAACTAAATTGGTACTAGATACATCTGTACCATTTAAATATTTTGCTAACACTTGTATTTGTTAATTTTCAAAAAGGACTAGACGATTGAAAATCAAAAACTTTAGTACTGAAAATAATAATCAGAAAATAGCATAAACTTTAAATTGTAAAATAGATCTTTTCCAATTTAGCTTGCATTTTTATTATTTTAATCATACACAACTGATATAACAGATCAAATTATGTTTTCCTAAAGATCAAACATATTTCTAAGATGATCCTATCATTTTTTTTCCAAAGAAATGTAATTATGAATTTGAGAAACATCAGATATCATTTTCAGTCCATACTTCTCTAGTCAAGTCCTGTCAATTATGGAGGTTTGATTCAGACATAGGGTTTCAAAATCAGAGTATGTCAGAACTATGAGGGATCTCAGATATTTTATTACTCAATTGTGGTTCAGGAATGAAACATGGATCCAATAGAATGTTTTTTTCTCCCAAATTAGTACATTTCACTCACATAGTGAAATTTAGGATTGAGTTAAAATAAAATTTAATGCTAAGTAATTTGATATAGTGAGAGTCAGGTAACATGAGTTTTTTGAACCAACTCTGTATCATGTTGTTGTCGGTCTTTGGACAAGTCTCTTGTCCTCTCTGTGATCCAGTTCTTGCAACTTAGAAATGACTGCTGAAACTGATGCAAACACTGTTTACATTTATTCCATATTTACTGAAAATGATTGGTGAAATTCACTTATTAACTCAGAAATGTATTAACCTTATCAGTCTCTGGACTTGCAACCACCCTAATTCTCCAACGTTCCTGGATCTACGTAAATGCTCCCATCTTTCAAGCTAGCTTAAATCAAAATAACATTTATTTAAACAATTACTCTGAGTGGGGCATTTTGTGAGTTCTTATAAACATTTTACTAGGTAAAGAAGTCCCATTTTCTCAAATTCTTCAAACACAGTTAAAACCCACCAAAAATTTTATTTCTTTGATTACTCATAGCACGAATTGTCCAAGTCACAATATGCTCTTTTGTTCTTTCATTGCTTATTCCACAGACAGAAATTAAATTTTATATTTTCCATTGCTTCTATCTAAGTAGCCATGGCCATTTTAACAGTAGTTTCACTAGCCGGGCGAGGTGGCAGGCGCCTGTAGTCCCAGCTACTCGGGAGGCTGAGGCAGGAGAATGGTCTAAACCCGGGAGGCGGAGCTTGCAGTGAGCTGAGATCCGGACACTGCACCTCAGCCTGGGCGACAGAGTCTCAAAAAAAAAAAAAAAAACAAAAAAAAAAGTAGTTTCAGAATAAAAGTGAATAAAAACAGATATTTTAGACTTAAAGGAACTTTCCAAATTGTAATTCAGACCAAATATTGAATTTTCAGTCACCGAGAAGTTGTAGTTGAAAGAAGATGAAAGAGTCAGCAGAATGTAGAAATTGATCCATCCCTCAGCAATCTAGATCCTTCTGTTTATGTACCTTCATGAGACAAATCTAACACCCAAATAAATAACTGGATCTGGAATTATCAATGCTAATAACTTTTTCCATTCACAAGGAAGACCAAGGTCTAACTCTAATTCATTTTCATATTTTTGAGTAGAAAAATTTGTTCTCCCAGATTCCTTGGCAGACTTATGGCAAATCCCCTATACAAACCTACTTTCATTTGCAAAGTGAAGCCAACTTCCTTAGGTAATACACTTTTTTCTTCAATGTTTCTAGAAAAGAAAATTGGTTCCAAAAATATCTGAAATATGTAATTTAAAGAATATCTAGCCTGGGTTCAAATAAATGTAATGATTGGAGTATAAACATTTAGATTCATTTTTTTAAAGTGAGGTCACTACAAATAAAATATATATATATATCATCTTTATACAATCCCTAAGAGTCCATGAGTAAAAATTGCTGTTTAATATGTTTTTCTAAGATCTCATAAATGAAATCTCCTATGATTAAATATCAATATTCTTAATAGTTTAAAACATTCAAATTTCATAATGATTACATTTAAACCTCCTATTAATTAGCTATATTGACAGCCCATAACTAAATTTATTTTTTTTTCCTGCAGGCAGAATTCACAGCCATGCGGGAGCAGTACATGCGAGGTGGGGAAGGCTTCATTATCTGCTACTCCGTCACTGACCGTCAATCATTTCAGGAGGCTGCCAAGTTTAAAGAGCTCATTTTTCAGGTCCGCCATACCTATGAAATTCCCCTGGTGTTGGTGGGTAACAAAATTGACCTGGAACAGTTCCGCCAGGTGAGTGCCAATTTTATCTGGTAGCTTCTGTCTTTTGCTCTGATAATACATAGTACAAAATATGGCTGCTTTCCAAGGTTCATATCGAGAATTATGAGAAAGAAATTATGCACATGATTTTTCTAATAAGTCATGGTGGTCACATGGTAAATTGTGTTGGCCTCCATAATATATTTGATCACATATGCTATTTTGTAGAGTGTCCTTGCTAGTGCCCCATCCCCTAGGATCTGGGATTATATACTGAATATAGTAGAAGTGATTCTGTTGACTTCTGAAGTGTGGCCTTAAGAGTTCTGCAGTTTCTGCCATTGTCACTTAACTGCTCACCCTTGAGTACAAGTAAAGAAGCCCAAGCTAACCATGAGAAGATAGTCATGTGGACAAAGTGAGATTCAGGCTCACAGCTGTCCCTGCCAAGCCACTACACATGTGGGCAAAGACACGTTGCATGTTTCAGCACTAGCTGCCATATAACTGTAACCTCATAAGATAGCAAGCCAATCCACATGGAACAGGAAATCTCCCAGGTAAGCCTTGTCTGGATTTGTGAACTAGAGAATCAGTGGCAAATAAAACGAAATTGTTTACGCTACCATGTTTTGGGGGTAATTTTTCAAGCAACAATAGATGATCAAAACAGAATCTTTCCCTCCTTCCAGAATTAGAACAAGCCACTGCTTCTCAGGTTGCATCAGAAATTACTCTTATATACCATCCATTTCCTTCAGGCTGCATCTGCTATATCAATGTGATCAATAGACAGTCTCAAAACTTCTCCAAACAAACAAAATTGATACGGAAGAAACTATGTCTAGCTTAGATTGAGATTCATTACCATAACTTACATAGTTCATTCATTATGTTTTATTCTCATCTGGTCAGACACTACTTCTTGGGCAATAACAGATGATCGAACTATGATGGCTTCCTCCCTGAGTTCTCAAGATAGTAATGATAAATCAGTTGCCCTGGTTCAAGAATCAGGCAAATCATATCACAATTCCACTCCCATGACTCACATTGTACAAAGTAATATTACTGAGAAGTGGCATGCAAATCAAATTTTTGTAAATCTAATTCTGTAAATTGAGTTGCTTTGTTATAAATTGAGATGCTTCATCTTTCTTTTCATTGACCTTAAGTTTAAACTGGCTTTTAATAGTTCATGTTATTCCAGTTAATGATTTATTGTTAGCCTATTTAAAGTAGTCAACTAGTAAAACCTTTTACTAACATAGGAATCTTCACTAAAACAAATAGTTGTCTCCTATCTTAAGGATATTATAAATATGGATTTTCATGCCTAATACGTTTTAAGTTTTCTTAAATTGAAAAGATCTCATACAGAGTCCATGTTTACAAGTTGATGTTTAACAGGGAACGTATTTCTATGATTTAGTGCAATGCATTTTTGTGATGACATTGTTGTATATTCTACTTGAGAATCTAAGCATCTTAAAATGGCAGCTAATTATTGTTTTAGGAACTATACTATTTGTTCATCTCTTCTGCAACTGTTCTGCTATCTTACTTTGCTGTTTCTCTTTGTCCAAAGACATGTTCAGCATAATATGGTTGCATTTCTATGGGTTAGAATTCAAGTTTATCTCATCAGTTAAATATGAATCTATTCTTAGATACTTGGCACAAAGGAAGAAAGTTGGAGGCTTAGTAGCTGAACCTTTCCTATATTCCTCTGAAGAGTGCTAGTGCTCTACTTTTCTTAGGGCCTCTAGGAACTAGCATGACAAAGCACCCTAAATGTACCATCAAGTGAACATATGCCCATTTTGTTGCACTTCTAAGAATTCCTGGAGAACAAAAACCTCTGATTGGGTTTCAGTTAGGAAAGCTACAAGTGACTCTGAAAAACTAGTGAATTTGAAAACATTCAGGTAACATTTTTTCAGGCGAAAAATCAACTAAACTTTCTCTACAATGATTACTCTTCATGACTCCAAAGCTGGCTGACATTTACTTTTCCCTCCCTCTCCAGGCCCTGTCTTACCAGGCTCAAAGGTGACCCTTAGGATCTCACAAAGGCATGTTTATCAGAACCCCTATCCCAGCCTGGATAATTAGCTGCTCCTTTCAGATTAGCAGTGAAGTGAATCACAAGCATTACAAATGTCACTGAAATAAAAACCCAGGAAAAGATATTAAGATGTGTAACTGCAGATTTGATAGTCTTTTCCTTGTAGATAAAAGCAAGTACTGTAAACAAGATAGTCACAGAAAGTGCAAAAACCATGAAAACACAAATTGCAATCTTTGTAAAAATGTTCGTGTACCACTGTCTCCAATAATGAAATGTTGATGTAAAAATTTGGCTTCTGGCTGTGGTTGTGATAGCAATAATTATTCTTAAAACTGCAGAGTGGTTTTTTCTTAGCAAAATGATTTCAATTCGTACTTTATTTTAATCTTGCAACTGCCCTGTGTATTTGTAACCCAATCATTTGAAGAATGAGGACATCTGACAAATGAATATATTGATAGCAATTGACTTTACTAAACTATTGCAGCTAGTGACAAAATTAAGACTAAAACACTATCACATTGTATTCTTTTTGTTCATCAGTATTTGAAAGGTTACATCTCTATTTCTTCATTAAAAAAAAAGGAAACTCAAAGAAAAATAAAAATGCTGACACCTAGATGGTTTGCAGCTCAAAAGAATTCTGTAAGGATTCCTAGAGTGATAAAGTTAAACTCTGAAAGGTGAAATTACGCTGGTGCTATTGTTTAGTGGTGAGAGGCAAAGGAGTAGGATTCTCACTAAGCAACTCTTATTCCTTATCACCCTACCCTGAAAGAGTTTTGGAAGGAAAGAATTCTGATGGTTGAAGCTGCTTCTTTTCATATTTGGTAAGAATAGGTGCCTGTATTCTTAATGCATTTTGGGAAATCCCAGAGCCCTTTCTAAAAAAGATAAAAAATAAAGAGACAACGAGTTTTAGTGTATTATGTGTTTATCATTATTCACCTCCTTGAGCTTTAATGTGGAAGGACTCAAATGATAGTATTTAATCTGTGGTCAATATTCATTTTGATGGTGATATTACTGAGGATACATTTAGTGTTTTCAAGGCTCTGTGCTGGGCACGTGAACACATAAGATTTTATTTAATCCTCACCACAAGACCATGAAGTAGTCTCCTGTATACCTATTTACATATGAGTCAACTGAATCTCTAATACATTCAATAACTTGTTCAAGGTCACACAGGTAATTAGAGTTGAGAGACAAAACCCAGTGTGTTCTGGCTTGAAATCTCACTATGTCTTATGGTTGGCCTACAAACCATCGTCATTTTATCATGAATTTATTTTTTATGTCAGCTTCAAGATGCTATGCTTCTCAGAGCAATAGCATCTTATGGACAAGGAGGAGCAGGAAGAATCAGGATAATAATTCTTGGGGTTGGAGTGGGCAGTTCCAGGCCATGGACAAGCCAGTAATAGCCCAAAGTTGGTTTCCTTACCCTTTTGGTGTGAGGAAAAATAAAAGTAAGGAAATGGGTTTCAAAATTACTGGAAAGTTCTGTTTTATAACAGCCAAAAACTTCTGTCCAAAGTTTATCCAGGCTATTCTAAAGCCTGTCTTAATTCCTGAACAACATGAGGGCCTTGAGCTCCCGTGGTCTTTGTCCCTATTCATGCAGGCTTCTGTCTTCCCACTGGAGAGTAGAAGGAGATAATCCCCGATTTCTCTTTTTCCAAAACCCTGACCGGCTGTGCAAAGCAGAAGTAGGCTATGAATGAAGTAAATTTCAGGGATCTGCGAGCTAGATTAGAAAGTTTTACGTCAATTGCAGACCACAAACTTTTTTTTTTTTTGAGATGGATTCTCGCTCTGTCACCCAGGCTGGAGTGCAGTGGCGCAATCTCTGCTCACGCCAATTTCCACCTCTCCGGTTCAGGTTCAACTCCTGCCTTAGTCTCCCGAGTAGCTGGGATTACAGGTGCCCACCACCATGCCCAGATAATTTTTGTATTTTTAGTAGAGATGGGGTTTCACTATGTTGGCCAGGCTGGTCTCTAGTAATGGCCTCAGGTGATTCGCCTGCCTCAGCCGCCCGAAGTGCTGGGATTACAGGCATGAGCCACGGCGCCCGGCCAAACTGTTTTATCCTGAACGTAGACAAACCTTTTGGCCCCAACAGCCTAATTGCAGCATAATTCTCAGCTTTAGGCCTTGAAACTGTGCTTCCCACAGTCTACATAACTCTTGAAGTACTGAGTTGAAATCATGAAACGTCTTTATTTATTCTTTAGTGAGATATCTAATTAAAATAGTTTCTTAGGGGGTATTTGGAATTGTGAGAATTAGGAATTACTGGATTTAAAAAAGTATACTATCTATTTAGAGTTATATCAAGCATCTACTTATATTTGGAGAGTGGTGATGGTTTCGGAATATAGTAAAGCAATGAGTAATCCAGTCCCTGTCCTCAAGAACTTTCTCTTCTCCTCAGGATCTGTGCATATGATGTAGGGAGAAAGCCTCCTTAAACAACACAGGTAAATGTTGAACAATATGGCACAATCCATAAGTGCAATGCTTTTTGAAAACCAGGAAAGACCCATATGGGTAGCACATTTGAAGAACAAAGATAATGAATGAATATCTTGACCAAGTAAGAAAGATAAGGTGAATGGTGACAGTTATTTTAGGAAGGACTGAAAAGAATCAATCTAGGCTGGAAGGAAGAAACCTTGGGTCTTATGAGTGTACACAAGCAGTAGAGTGATCAGTGGGAAACTTGGAAGATCAGTCTGCCTAGTACACACATATCAAGCATCCTAAGCATAATTTCATAGAGTCTCCCTTGAAGACACATTTAATCAAAGGCAAAGCATAAATATGTAGCAGAGCATATTGGATATAGTATAATGCAGTAATTAATTGCAAATACCACTCAAATTTAAAAATTAAAGAGTAGTGCTTCATTATCTTTCATTGTCAGTGCACTGGAAAATTTATATAAACATAT